ATCCCTTTTCTTTATATGTGGAACTGGTAAAAGGTCATTCAGGATCCATTCAGGGGACCCAAGCAGATGGTCAAGCCAGTGTAACCTCTAGCTGAAAGAGTATCTGATTTCAAAAACAACAGCACAATCTTCTAACACCACTTATATGCCACTTCCAAAGGCCACACCTGCACAGGAATAGCAGAACAAACACGTTTTGTTAATGGCAGCAACACTGACATCAGGATATCTCTTCCCAAGGGGTCTGCCTTGAATAAATGCATGTTTGCTATAAATGTTCTAACCTTTCCTTTCCTTATGTCTTTATTTTTAGGGGCTGGGTGTTTAGCTCAGCGGCACAGCACCCGCCTGGCAAGCATAAGGTCGTGAGTTCGATTCCCAGTACTGGAAAAAAAAAGTCTTTATTTTTTTATTTTCTGGTACCAGGAATCAAACTCAGGATCTTGCACTTGCCAGGCAGGCACCTGTGCCACTGAGCTACCTCCCCAGTCCTTTTTTTTTTTTTTTTTTTTTGGTCTTTTTGAGACAGGGTCTCGCTATGCAGTACAGGCTGACCTTGAGCTCATTTTGTAGCCCAGGCTGGCCTTGAACTCCCAATAATCCTCCTGCCTCAGCCTCCCAAGTGCTGGGATTACAAGCATGTGTCACCACGCCTGGCACCAGCCCTTTTTAAAAATTATTTATTTATTTATTTTTCCTTAAGTCTTAAAGTCACATAAAATGGGGAGAAGTGGCACAGAATAGTGCTTTTGTAAAATGTATTACACACTTTAAGGTGATCTGGGGTGGCATGTGAATAAATTTGTATATTTTCACTATGTATTGGTTTTTATATATGCCAGAAAAAATCTAGCTCAGAATGCTCACGATATACATTACAAAGTGGTCTTGATCAATACATTTAAATCATAAATTTTAAATTATAAAATACAAATTGTTAGTTGGGCGTGGTGGCTCACCCCTGTAATCCCAGCACTCAGGAGGCTGAGGCAGGAGGATCATTGCAGGTTCGAGGCCAGCCTGGGCTACAAAGTGAGCTTGAGGCCAGCCTGAACTACATAGCAAGACCCTGTCTCAAAAAAATAAAATAAAATACAAATTGTTTTAAGAAACATACTGAGTAAATAATACTTTTTATTATGGCAAATATTATCATGCAAATAATTCAAGCATTGGAACTCCCTAATGTAGGAGACGGCAAGCGTGAGTTTTCCGGGCTTACAGACCTGAGTTCAAACACTCACTCCACCATTCGCTACTTACTGATGATCCCTGCGAGTGCTCACTTTGACAGCACATGTACAGCCTTGTGGTAGTCGCTTCACCTTGAAGAGTCTCAGATTACTCATCTGAGTGATGACATGAAATGGAAATGAACAATACCCACTTCTCGGGGTTTGTCCAAGGATGAAACAAAATCAAGCATGAAGGCCCCAAGGAGAGGCCAGGGCATTTAAGTCAGTGCTCACTCAGCAGTTGCAGTAATAGTGATGATCCAGACATTATTCATGTATTCAGATGCAACCCAGCCATGTGACCACTTGTATAAATATCCCCATTTATTCCAATTGACCTTTCTTCTTTCCCATCTGCAATACATGCAGCTACAGATGAGGGCTCACTGAGCTGGAGAAGAGTTTATCAGCCACATAGAAGTCACAGAGGCCAATGGGAGTCTGGAAGCATTTGAAGCAGTGCCCAAGTGCCCAGGGCAAGTTGGGGCCCAGAAAAGATCCTGGCAGATAAGCAATCTGTGTTCCAACAGAGGTGTTACCCTCCTAAGACCATGCAGTGAGTAGGGTCAACTTCATAATTATTAACTCAGACTCTAAACATGAAAAGCCAAATGACCTGTGCAGAATGCAAGCCAGACAGTCTTATCAAGAATGAATCAGCCTCTTTGATCTTGAGGTAAACCAACTCGCTCCCATCAAGCTTCCACCTGGGATTTTTCCAGGCACTAAAGCGGTTGCCTAATTCCCAGCTGTCTGGAGTTTCCAGTCCGAACTAGCCTCAGAGAAAAAAAGTCCCAGCACCTCGTTGGAGTTCACACTCCATTAAAAACATATTACAGATCCACGCTACTAATCCAAAGGAACAGGGGTCCAAAAAATATTTTTTCAGTACTGTAGTTAAAAGCAATCCTCGTTCAGTGCAGAAAAATTATCATACCCAGTTTAGAACTAAACACTCAAGTAAGTACGTGGAGTGAAACCAGAGAAGGCAGGGAGATGGTGGGGGGAGTCAAAAGTGTACTCTGAAGAACATAAATAAAACATGGAGGAGGTGGAGCGGGGCTGAAGACCTGGGGGTCTAACAAGGAGAGGAAGGACAAGGAGGGCAGCTGAGCAAGAGCCACGGAGATCAGCTTCTCCCACTGCACTTCCAGAAGCCTCTCTGACCTACCCACCCAGAGCGTATCTGCACTGCATCATGAATTAATCAGCATGGAAATCGCTGCCTGCATCTGTGGAAATTGAATTTAGCTGCCAATCCTGACGGAGGGCACGGAGGCCTCCTCCCAGAAAGATCGCAGCTCACAGGGAGAATGGCTTTTCTTTCCTTAAATCAAAGCTTGCGTAAGCCCGTGGAAAGGCTGCAGCTGGAGCCACAGACTCTGTGAAAGGTGGCAGGCTGAGGACGGTAATTATAATTAGCAGTTGCATAACATGTTTGTTCTTCAAAGTGCTCTACAAGGATCGGATAATTAATAGCTTACTATGCCCCATGCAGATCCACTGGTTTTTCATGTAGTGACTAATTCTGGTGCCCACACTCAATTCTGAATGGTGCAGACCAAGCAGCCTGAGCAATGGAGCAAACTGCTGAGGGTCTAGAAGCCAAACGCAGCTCTCTTACCACGCGACTCCACACGGTAGTTTCCCGGCAGGAACACTTTCACGGGGCAGCAAACCTCACTTCCTCCAAATAACTCTTGGAGGTGCTATGAAAGATGCAATGATAGGTTGGCATGACCATCAGTCCAGTCCAGTAGGACATCGGCTCTCCTCTCCTTCTCCGGGAGGTGAGCCTAGGGCCATGGAGTCCTTGGTGTTTGTCACAGGTTTGCCCTTGCTTCTCTATGCAAGTCAGTGAGACCACTCTAAAAGAGGCTGAACTAGATCTCTGGAGTTTCACCCTTTGCTTTCTATGATGGAAGTCTCTGGCCTATATCCCTTTGCACTTATAACAGAGATAAACTGAATGTAGGAATTTTATGGCATAGACAGGGCCCCCACAGCAAAGCTGAGTTTCCCATCTTCTCCAAGGATGCTTTACCCAGGGCTTCAGAAGTCCGTGAATGCCTTGAATTTCCCTGCAAAACATTACTATGTGTATTTATTTGGGGAAAGATCTGTTTCTCCTATTGCACCATAAATTCCAATAGGGTAGTACCTCAAAAGGACCTCACACATACCGCACACCAAATAGATATCTATTGAATGAACAGACTTCATCAAATTCCTATCCTCAAAATGATTATAAACCATTCACTGCTCTGTGGACAAAGAAGCACCACAAATCCACATGGTTTGCTTGCTCTGGTTAAGCTTTCCTCTGGTAAACTGGTTGGCGAGACCCAAGATCTACCACAACCCCGCTGCTAATTAATCCACAGACTCAGAGCAAAGCTACACTGAGATTTCATTCTTGAGGGATCTGTTTTCAGGGCCAACAAGTCAATGTGCAGAAACATAGTCCCAGAGCCACTGGAGACTATAGGACAACTGCATCTCATACTCTTGGACCAACTGTCACAGATGGTATGAATCACTGCCTTTTTCCAGTTTGCCTCTTGGAGGCAAAGGGGTGAAAGGAAGCATGTAGAAATGCACACCTGTTCAGACTCATGAGATCTACACACGAGCGTGATAGTTCAGGAAAGAGCTAACACACACACTGCTTTACACTTTGCAAAATGCTGCTGTAGATGATCTCATCCGATCTCCTCTCAACACTCTTTGAAAAGAAAAACCAGGCTTTATTTTCCCCCTCTTATAAACAAGGAAACGGAGGTTCACAATGCCTTCCCTGGTGACACTCAACTATCACATGAAATTGAACTGAAGCCTCAAAACTCTTCTCACCAGCAATGCCACTTCTGGGTATGTATCTGAAAGAACTGAAAACAGGATCTCCGAGATACATGTGCCCACGCATGTCACAGCACCTTTAGTTACAGTGGTCAGAGAGTGGAAGCAACCAAGTGTCCATTGATAGATGAATGAATAAACAAAATGTGACACATGCATACGATGGGACATTAGCCAGCCTTAAAAAAAGGAAAGAAATAATGGTTTATGCTATAACATGGATGTACCCTGAAGATATTATGCTAAGTGAAATAAGCCAGTCTCAAAAAGACAAATAACCACATGACTGTACTTACATGAGAGACCTAAACTAGTCAAATTCATAAGAGACAGAAAGAATGGCAGAGTGCTAGGGGCTACAGGCAGGGGACAATGGCAAATTATTGTTTAATGAGTATAGAATTTTAGTTTTTGAAAGATCAAAAAAGTTCTGGAGATTGCACAATAACATAAACGTACACAACAATATTTACACACTTACAAATATTTAAGATGGTAATTCTTTGTGTTTTGTGTGTTGCCACAATTAATTTTTAAAAATATGAGAAACAACTCTATCTTTTACAGAACATCAGCTTGTCTCTGGAAAGCTGCCATGCTAAGTTGGGAGTATGCCCCTCTGAGAAAACAGCACATGGAGAAAAACTTCTCAGCTGGTTAAGCAGAGGAAACAAGAATTTATCCAAAAGATGGATATCAAAAATCTTCTATCCAACCTATTTTTCTAACCCACCTCCAAAATCTTCAGGATCTAGCTGACATATATATCTAAAACCAACCCACCACATGAAGGGCAGAGCCAGGTGCAGGGCACAGAGCGAGGCAGCCAGTAAACTGTTTGATGACCCACGTTTCCCAGTGACTTTGATCGCAGGTAGCAGGAGCCCGGCAGGGTGGAATCTGTACCTCTGCATGTTAAAGTGCTTTCCCTCCAGGTGCCTTTCTCTGTGCAGACAGAAGCAATCTCTCCTCCAGGGCTCTCAAACCCCTCTTGGCAGACGTAGTGAGCCACACCACCCGGCTTGGAGCTGTGATTCCCCAGCAAGATGGCATTCCGCACTTCCGGAGGATGGCCACAGCTGATCTCTGCAATGAGAAGCAATGTCAGTCCCAGCTTCTAAGCCTACCGTTCGTAATTTAGAAATCTATTTAACCATGCTAGAAGCTACTCATCTTGGGAAAGAGAAAACACTAACTCCAAATAATCCAAATGTAGGTTATACTCGGAAGTACAGAAAATACACGTCCGAATTTCACAAGATTTCCAAACATGCACACAAACAAATTATGAGAGTAATTACTTATAAAAATTTCCTTGGTCTATGAAACAGTACATCTTAGTGTTCTTTGAAACACTAAAATATTCTGATTTTTTTATCACATATCTTCAGATCAGTAACTCCAGAGAAGATGGTAGCCCAATATTAGCAATCAGTGCCAACTGAATACTAAGTGAAATACTTACAAAGCCAGCCACAGTGGCCCATGCCCATGATCCCCTCCTATAAGCCCAGACTCCGGGGAGGCTGAGGTAGGAGGCCCAAAAGTTTGAGGCCAGCCTGGGCAACTGAATGAGGCCCTGTCTCAAGATAAAGTGCTGTTGTTGTTGTTTTTGTATTGGTAATTTTTTACTCTTAACTTTATCGATACAGTTTAGATACACATAATGATCACACTCATCATAGGGAACTTGTACCTGTACATGATGTATCTTAGTTCCTCTTTTTCCCCCCATTCTCCTACCCTCCCTTCAACCCCTCTTTCCCTCCTTTACAAAGCTTTTGTTTCCATTTTACCCTTTTTTAAATCATTTTTTTCTGTTCCCTTCTTTCTGCCCTACCCCCAGCCCCCCTTTCCATTTGAAAAATTTCTTCCTGTTTCACAATATCTATTACACATTCTGGTCCTCATTTATATTTTCAGTTACTCACACCAGAGAGACAATGCGATATTTACACGTGTGTCCCATTTATTTCACTTAATAATATGTTCTTAAGATGCACCCATTTATCAATAAATGTCTCAAGCTTGTCCTTCTTTCTGGCTGAGTAGTACTCCCTTGTATAAAAAAAAAACCACATCTTTTTTGCTGCCTGCACACCTGTAATCCCAGCACTCGGGGGCTGAGGCAGGAGGATCATTGCGAGTTTGACACCAGCCTGGGCTACAAAGCAAGCTCAAGGCCAGCTTGAATTGCACAGTGAGACCCTGTCTCAAAAAAGACCCCCCCCAAAAAAAACACATCTTTTTATTCATTCATCAGTTGATGGACATTTGAGTTATTTCAAGATTTAGCTACTACAAACTGTGCTGTTACAAACATGGGTGTGCATATATCACTCTGGTATGATGCTTTTAATTCTTTGGGGAAGACACCAAGAAATGGAATAGCTGTGTCAAATAGGATGTCCAGCCTTAGTTTTTTGAGGAATCTCCACACTGATTTCCACAATGGTTGCACCAGTCTACATTTTTTTCCCCAAAGCCTCACCAGCATTTGTAACTGGTTGATTTCTTGATGATAGCCATTCTTTCTGGAGGAAGATGGAATGTTAAAATGTTTTAAATTAAAATGCTTTAATTTGTATCTCTATAATGACCAGTGATGTTGGACATTTTTTCATATATTTATTTGCCATTTCTACTTTTTCATCTGAGAAGTGTCTATTCATTTCAGATGCCCATTTTTGGATCAGGTCTTTAAATTGGGGGAGGTCAGAGTTTTTTCAATTCTTTGAATGTACTAGATATTAGTCTGAAGACTAATGTTCTAGATATTAGCCTGAAAAACAGAGGTCTGAAGAACAACTGGCAGAAAATTTTTTCCACTCTCTGGGTTGTCTTTTCACTCTGATGGTGAATTCTTCGCTGTGCAAAAGCTTTTTAAATATGATGAGATCCCAGTTGTTGATTCTTTGTAGTGTTTCCCACGCAGTTGGGGTTTTGTTCATGACGTCTTTGCCTACACCTGTCTTCAAGAGTTCTACCTATTCTCTCTTTGAGCAGATGTAGTGTTTCTGTTTTAATATTCAGAATTTTAATCCATCTTAACTTTAGTGCATGGTGATAGACATGGGTCTAGTTTTAGTCTTCAGCATATGAAAAACCAGTTATTACCACACCATTTATTAAAGAGGCTATCCTTCTTTCAGTGAACATGTTTGACACCTTTGTCAAATATCAAAGGTGGCTGTGTTGGGAGTTGTTTCTGCAGCTTCTAATATGTTCCACTGATCCTTGTATCTGGTTTTTATTGTTGTTGTTGTTGTTGTTCTGTCAGTACCATGCTGTTTTTGTTTTTCTTTCAAGATTTCCAAATGTGTTTATTAATTCTTGTCCTGGTAGCTGGCATCATTAACCATGCTGTTTTTATCACAGTAGCTCTGTAGTATAATTTCAAATCTGAGATTGTGATGCCTTTTGTCTTGCCTTTGGTGCCCATTATTGTGTTTGCTAGTCTATGTCTCTTCCAGTTCCAAATGAATTTTAGGAATGTTTTCTCTAGTTCTATGAGGTATGCTAAAGGTATTTTGATTGGGATTGAATTAAATTTGTGTAACAATTTTGTAAAAATGGTCATTTTTACGATGTTGGTTCTTCCTACCCAAGAGCAATAGATAACTTTCCATTTTCTGATATTCTCTTCAATCTCCTATTTCAGAGTACTGTAGTTTTCAATGTAGAGATCTTTCATCTCCCTTGTTAAATTGATTCCAAAGTATTTAATTTTTTTGGCTGCTATCATGAAAGGGGTTGTTTCCCTACTTTCTCTCTCAGTAAGTTTGTTACTGTGTACAAGAACGCTATTGATTTTTGAGTGTTGATTGTGTATCCAGTTAGGAGACTGAATCTGGTTATTAAATCTAGAAGTCCTTTGATGGACAGTTTCTTGGGTCTTCCATATATAGTATCATGCCATCTGTAAATAATAATTTCACTTCTTCCTTTCCTAGCCTACTCCTTTTATTTCTTTTTTTTTTTGTCTAACTGCTCTGGCTAATGCGTCTAGAACTATATTAAATAAAGTGGTGATAGTGGACATCCTTATCTTGTTCCTGATTTTACAATGAAAGCTTTCAGTTTTTGACCATTTAGTTTGGTTTTGTCTATTGATTTGCCATAGATGGCTTTCATCAGATTGAGATAAAGACTACCTGTTCCAATTTTCTGTAGAGTTTTTTCTTATCATGAATGGGTGCTGGACTTTGTCAAATGCTTTTTCTGTATCTATTAAGATGATAATGTCTTTGGCTGTGTTGATATTGTGTATTATGTTTATTGATTTACATTTGTTGAACCATCCCTGCATCCCTGGGATGAATCCTAGTTGGTCATGATGTATAATCTTCTTGAGGATTTGTTATGCTCTGTTTCCCAGTATCTTACTGATGCTTTTTGTATCTATGTTCATTAGGGAGCCTGGCCTGTAGTTCTCTTTTTTTGGCTGGGTCCTTCTTTGGTTTTGATATCAGGATAATACTAGATTCCAGGAATGACTTTGGGAGTATTGCTTCCCTTTTGATTTTCTGAAACAATGTGATGAGTAATGGCATTAGATCTTCTCTAAATTTCTTATAGAATTCAGTGGCTCCATCAGGACCTGGGCTTTTCTTTGCTGCTAAGTTTTTAATTATACTTTCAATTTTATTGACTGATATTGGATTATTTAGAATATTTTTAAATTTTTTTATTTTAAAAATTTAAAAACTGACAAAGCAATGAAGACAAAATCAAAACAACACAAAAACAAAAACAATACATGACCTCAAAACAAAATGAAAGGAATTTACAATGCATGCTACATTACACACTGTTACCTTCATATTTAGAATTTTTATATTTTTTAACTTTGATAATTCATATGTATCTAGGAATCTGTTTATTTCTTCTGTGTTTTCCATCTTATTAGAGTAAAGGTTCTCAACATAAATACTGATAATAGTCTGGATTTCTGAAGGATCTGTTGTGATTTCACCCTTTTCAACCTTAATTGTGTGAATTTGAGTCTTTACTTTTTTAAATAAGGTTGGCTAAGGGTTTGTCAATTTTATTTAATCTTTCAAAAAAACAACTCTTCAATTCATTTACTTTTTCTGTTGTTAATCTTGACTGCATTAATTTCTGCTCTGACCTTTATAATTTCTTCCTTTCAGTGAGTTTTAGGCTTGATTTGTTCTTATTTTTCTGGAAGTTTGAAGTTCAACATTAGATTGTTTATTTGAGCTCATTCTGTTTTCTTGATGTGAGAATTCACCACTATATATTTCCCTCTTAGGATAGCTTTCACTGTTTCCCTTAAGTTCCAGTATGTTGTATCTGCATTATCATTTAATTGTAGATACTGTTAAATGTCCTCTTTAACTTCATCTATGACATGCTGGTTGTTCAGTAGAGTTTTCTTTAATTTCCATGTATTTACAGATTTTTTTACAGTTTCTTTTGCCATTGATTTCCAATTTCACTGCACTATGGTCAGATAATATGCATGAAATAATTTCAATTCCTTTGCATTTACTTTTATTTTATTTATTTTTAGTACCAGGAATTGAACTCATGACCTCAGGCTTGCCAGGTAAGTGCTTATGCCGCTGAGCTATATCCCCAGCAATTCTTTTGCATTTACTTAAGCACGTTCTACAAGCTAGTATGTGGTCTATTTTAGAAAATATCCCATGCACTACTGAGAAGAACATGTATTCTGATATTGTAGGGTGGAACACTCTAGAGCACCTACTAAGTGCATTTGTTCATAGGTTTGGTTCAGTTTTGATATTTCTTTGTTGATTCTTTTTGTCTAGTTGATCTATTTGTGACAGTAAGGTATTAGGTTCACCATTATAATTGTGTTAGTACTTACTTGATTTTTTTTTTTTTTCTTTTTGAGACAGGCTCTTGCTATGCAGTTTGGGCTGGCCTTGAGCTCACTTTGTAGCCTAGGCTGGTCTTGAACTTGCAACAATCTTCCTGCCTCAGCCTCTCAAGTGCTGGGATTACAGGTGTGTGCCACCACACCCAGCATGATTTTTCATGTCAGTTAATATTTGTTTTATATAGTTGGGTACACTGGTATTTGGTGCATATATAGT